CTGCTTTATCTAATACTAAGGCATGAAAATGAGTTTTATAATTCTAGAAATATTTCGATTCCCAAAAGCTTGTCTTTGTGACTTCATACTTATGACCTCTATATAAATAAATTAATAATTGCAAATGATGCTAATGGAACTAATAGAGCTGATATAATTTATTTTTTTGCGAAATAAATAGCCTGAAAAAATATACATTTCGTTTCACTCAATAGCTTTGAGAAAAAAATTCTATTCACTAAGAAAAGGAATATCCCAACCTTTTCGTATTCTATGTGAATGCTTTGGGAAACTGTCAAATCGAAGACAATGAAGTTCCGATCACATAGACAGTTATTGACATCTGCATATGTACGCTAGTCATTAGTATATAGGCGAAGAATACAGGCTAGTTTATCTGAGGTAGACCCATTGAAGAGTACGATATAATTTAATTCTTTTCTAATTAGCTTCGGACAGTCGAAAAAACTTTGCGTTACATAAATTGGGCTTATATTTCTGTGACGTCCTTCAGTGAAATAAGGAACAATCTTCTCCTGGACTTTTTTTAAATCGGCACATAGTCTTCGAATATGACTACTATACCCCTTTCTGGAGAGAATTATTCCAGCTTTGGGATTTTATCAGGTTTCATCGCCCGAAATGTTATATCTTCACGGTATTGTTCTTAATGATCTGATTGCGTTAAATTTTTTGGGAGGCGGTTGATTAGATTTAGAACCATTATTTATATCATTGATATCAACAATCAAACAAGCGTGTATAATCTGCAAAGTAATAATAAGTTAAGTGGTTTATTATTCGGCTAGCTCCTTGAAACACAATGTTAATTGATTTTCTGTTAAATAAAATATTTAAAAACGATCGCCCAGCAGTGTCTGAAATTGGGTTGCGGAGGTTGCGGACCGCAAATGATTTATAAGTTTCCGCAACTAAAATCCGAAATGTATATGCTGGTTCCGCAAATAAATTTTGTGAATTTGCATATAGATATGTTCGAATTTGCATATAAATACATTCATATGCGCAACTAAATCCATAGAATCCGCAAGTAAAGTTTTTTTATTTAGTTGCAGCCCGCAACTAAATTAAAAATTGAATTTCAGACACTGTCGCCCAGGCCTCATCGGCGCAGTCCGCTTAGGGATACCGCCGATTTGCGATAGATAAAAAATTTATCGCATAATTCGAATATCCCTAAGTCCGCTACAAATTTCACCTGATTTTGTCACTCGATCACCCGGATAACTAACAATACAAAATAAAACTACGTAAAGCACTATATGGGATATTGCGCCTTGCTGCTCACGTGGCCTACAGCTAGTTTCTAGAATCGCTACCCTATTGTACTTTACTTTTCTGATATCCGAGCCGTTTGGTCGGGCTATCAAAGCACTCATCCAGCACAGGTTTTTTTCAATTTTTAACAGCTGCCCTACCTCGTTTAGTACGTTAGGAGTACGTCGAGTATAACTCGAGTTTACATAAGGAGAGCATCTTCCTGCGTTGCGAATACAAAGTAAAATTTTCAATTATATTATATAATTAGAAATTTTACTTTGTATTCGCAACGCAGGAAGATGCTCTCCTTATGTAAACTTGAGTTACTAAACGAGGTAGGGCAGCTGTTAAAAATTGAAAAAAACCTGTGCTCACTCATCCTTGATATCCGGGTTGTCCACCCGGGCTATCGACAAACCCATAACTTTCGCATAGAACACTCCTCTTGCCTGTGGTGGGTGGGTGGATGGGTGCAAACGACGAAGCTAGACTCGCGTCGAGCTAGCAGCAAAGACAAAAGAGGGAGAACGAATTTCCATCCACTCTCTCTTATATAGCCATTTACTATGACCTCATACTGACCTCACCCAACCAAACTCACCATACAATACATCATACTCAAAATCGCTTAGTCAATCAAATCGATACTTACCCACGATACATCATACTTACAAATCGCTCATACCCATAATGGGTAATTATTTTTGAACTCGGACCAATTATATATGACGTAATAACATTTTTGGTCTGGATTCAAAAATAATTACCCAAATCAACTACCGTAAAGTGCTGACTCAAGTACCCAGCGTGATAAATAGTGTAGATCAATATTTTAAAATGCATGCTATTGCTATTTATGTGTGCATGTGATGTATAATATACGTGAATTTTAATTTTTCACTATTTGAAAAATTGCATCACACCGGGTACTTGAGTCAGCACTTTACGGTAATTCAATACTCTACCTCATACTTACATCACTGACGTCATGGGTATGGGCCGTGATCTCGTGACAAATGGATGCCTCGTGACTAATGATGCTGGTGAAATTAAATAATTTCACCAGGTGAAATGGTGAAACAATTTCACCAAAATTACAACAAAATAAAAATTTGGTGAAATGGTGAAATTGGTGAAATTGGTGAATTGGTAAAATGGTAAAATGGTAAAATTGGTGAAATTGGTGAAATTGGTGAATTGGTGAAATTGCGAAATTGGTGAAATTGGTGAAATTGGTGAAATTGGTGAAATTGGTGAAATTGGCGAAATTGATAAATTATTATGAATTGAAAAAAATATTATTAATTGACTATTTATATTAATGCTTTAATAATATATAATAAATTCTAAACTTATATAATAATTTTAATCCAAAACATTATAAATAACTTTAACATATATATTGTATCTAAATAAAAATTATCCTAACCAAGAATTAGAATAGTTTTAACTAAAAATTTTGTATTTTTTGCTCAAACTATACAAATAAATTATTATTTTTTATTTTAAATCCTAATTCTAACTTTGAAACTTGAAACAATCATATGCATTAATAATTTAATTAACAAAAAACTGAATTAATAAGCTCAAATATAATATATTGATTGAATTATTTAGAAAATTTTATAATATGTCATATTTAAAAAAAATAATTATCTATATTTACCCATCAACATTCTCAAAAAAGAATTGATAGTAATTTAGTAATTGGATTATTCAAAATAAACTCTACTATTACAAAATTTATTCTTTTATTTGTATGCAACTTTAATTGAAATTTGAATAGTACAATGTGTTAAGAAAAAACTTGCAAATGTTATCCAGTTTTATAGTAAGAGCATGAATTTGACCCTGACATAGTATTATCACGAGAACAAGTACAAAATTGCATTTATTACATTATTGCACTTGTTGCATTTGTTAATTATATTGAAATTAAAGCACTATTAGATAAATTAGTTATTGATTAAAGTATATAAATGTAATAAAGGCTGTTAAAGCCCAACTAAAAAATAAGTTGCATGCAATACAAGTAAAATGTTCAGGTAGATTGAAGAAGAGTTAACCCAGTGATGATCACGAATTATCACAAATTATCACCCTCGATATAATCACATAATAATTTTATTGGCCAAAAAATATAAACAATGTCGATCAGTATCACCTGAAAAATGTCACTATCATGTGATGATCAATAGTAAATTAGTCAATAATAAATCTTAAATTCATGTAATATAATACAATCAGAAACTCAAAACAAATGTTCGTTTTGTTAAAAATCGATTTTACTATAAGAACCACTAACATAGATTCTAACCCAAACCTAAATGAATTTCAAGGTATTTTATCGATTATTACATGTCACGAATTATCGTGAAATCAGATTATTGTGAAATTTGGATCTATTTTATATACAATTTTTAAAATTTTTTAGGGCCTTTTTTGTAGACTTTTTTTTTATAGTTAAGGATTTAGAGTTAGAATTATTAATGAAAGAGTATAGGTGGATTTTGGTAGGACTTATATTTTTGAATCGAGACCCCCAAAGTTCACGATAATTCGATTTTACGATAATCCATAACATTACATAATAGTGACATTTTCAGACGATGTAGGGAAGTTAGAATTTCTATTTTATTTTTTAATTTGTATTTTTCAGTTTGATTTGTTTTAAAAAAATATTATACTAACACTTGTATTAGATAAAGTTTTTTTGGTTGCAAGTGCGATATTTTTTAGTTGTCAATATGATACATTTTCTTTCATCACTTGTCACTGTTGGTGCTTTTGCCTTTTCTGTCAGCTTTAGTTTTTTTATTAAAGTATATACGTATATGCATATTTTATTATATTAGTATACGTATAATAGATAAAGTGAACTTTATATTATTTTTAAAACATACTAAAATCGATTGTTTGGGTAGGTGTTGATGATCGATACAATTTTAGGTTAGTTTCTTATTCAAGTTAATTTAATTAGCAAATATAATATTGTTGAACCTTTCAAAGTATTATATATAGTGATTAGGTTTTGTATCAGTATTGACAAGTTATTAGGCAAAAACATTATAAATTATTGTTAAACCTTTCAAAATAAATTTTGTCAAAATTGATAATTTGTCAAATCCAATAAAGAATTAATTTACCGAATTTGTTTTTGCTATATAAATCTAATGTTAGTTTAAATGTTTGATAATTGAGCAATATTGCAATAATCTGCACTAATTCGATTATTGTCAATTAAAAATTATTTAATTTACTTTACACTTTAATAGATTAATTTATGTTGCACTTTAATATACTGCTGTTATTAGCTTGTTCGACTCTATATTAATCAGTTTTTATAATAGACAAATACACAGGCAAAATCAAGCTGATAACATTTTTAATAAGAACATTAAACGAATAAATGTAAAATAAATAATGTAAAATTATGCGATTTAGTATGATACGCTAAATCACATAATGTTCGTGTTTCTGCCTGTTATATTAATATTATTTTCAAACTAAATAATATTAAACTATTTAATAAGATGAATAACGTATAAGCACCACCCATCATAAATAAAAGCTTTTATTTTCAGCTCTATTTCAAATAATTTATCTTGTTTATTCTTTCTCATCTTTAATATTCAAATAACCCATCCTGCTTATTCGAATCATAATCTTTCTATAATAATAAAAAAAAAAAATTATTTTTGTTAATAAAATATAAAACCATGATGGATAATACTGAAATCCTTATATCTCTAGCCCAACAATCATCAACATCACCTATGTCAATAAAAACTTATGGTGATATTTATTTAAATATTCAAACTACAGAACGTGCTGTAGAATTTTTTGAGCAACTGGGCATTCTCCCTAGAATACGTTTCTGTTCTAAATGCACAAGTGCTATGCATAAAACAAAGGATAATTCTCATGGTGATAAGCAGAAATGGACCTGTACTTTGAAAACTGCTTGTGGTCATGCTACTACTTTAAGGTCAGAAACGTGGTTAGCAAAATCTAAGCCATCCCTTGCACAAATTGCCAAAATTATGTTTTGTTGGTCTCATAGTTTGCCCCAAAAATTTGCTGTTTTTGAAAGTGGAATTAGTGCTCATATAATGGTAGATTGGTATAATTTTTGCTATGATATTTGTAGTATAGCATTAATGAATCAAAGTGATAAAAAATTGGAGGTGAAGAAAAAATTGTGGAAATTGATGAAAGTAAATTCGGCAAACGTAAGTATAATAAAGGTAAAAGGGTAAAAGGGCAATGGGTTTTTGGTGGCGTAGAAAGGGAGTCAAAAAAAATATTTTTAGTTACTGTACCTGACCGAACAAAAGAAACGTTATTAGAAATTTTAAAAGAATATGTAGAAAAAGAAACGACAATCTATAGTGATTGTTGGTCAGCTTATCAAACCTCAAATTTTGAGAAATATAGATGGAAGCATGAAACGGTCAATCATTCAAAGTATTTTAAAGACCCTGAAACAGGGGTTCATACAAATACAATTGAATCAAATTGGCATTCAGTAAAGGCATTACTTCCACGGTTTGGAACTGTTAAAGAATTATATGATACATATTTTTTAGAATATATGTGGAAACGACGTTTTGTTCAAGATGATAGTGATGCCTTTAATAAACTTGTAGAACATATTGCATTATACAATAAAAATTTAGAGGAATTGGTAAGTATTTCTTGAATAAAATAAACACAACTAATAAATTTTAATTAACTTTGTTTTACCTTCCAGGAAGTTCCAACATAATATCTCTCAAATAATAAAATTTATCAATATTAAATTTTGCCA